TTATCTCGCCCAATGCTAAACGCGCACAATTCATTCCGCACCACAAATAAACCATTTCATACTTCATTTAAATATCGCCCTAAACATATTTAACTAAAAACATATTGCAAAAGGGTCGTTTTGTCAGTGCAATTGCATGAGATTATCTTCGATAGACTACACCTACATTTTGTTCGTTCCACATAATTACATGACTTACTTGACTTAAATAAAAAGTACCATCTTATATTTCTCAAATTGATGCTAAATGCTTCATTTGTTAAGGCGGCAAAAGTATATTACAGTCATGGAAACAACATCTTAATAAACACTTTTTTTTAAATATTTTCAATTCAATTAACTTATCATTTCTTTTCGCTTATCACATTGAACGCTACGCAAACATGAGTTATTTGTAAAATGCAATAAATAGAAAATCAGACATGTCTCGGTTCAAAAACAAATTTTAAATAACATATTTGTTACGTGATCCAAAATTGAATAAATTGCACATTGCATTTTCCCAAAAACAAACCTCTGAAATGATAGAATCTAAAGTCTAGCAATTTTAGTTAATAATAGAAAACATCTAATTTCAAAATCTAATAATTATATTTATTTATTTTTTGATACTAAACCAAGTCACGATCTGTTTAAGAAATGGATGTAAGGGATATTGATGTAATTACATCATCGGGGGCACGTGCATAGTTTCTTATACTGGTTGCGGCAATCATTGTGAGAATCGGCGCCGGATGATAATGGATAAGGGAAACGAACGAAAAAATGAAGAAAACAAAGAAATTTACAAAACGCGTAGAATTAAAGAGGGCTTTATCGCAACACAATTCATTTCTGTATCTCTGGCCTCTTCGGCATTTAGAGAGAGAGAGAGAGAGAGAGAAAGAGAAGTATCGTGAGAGTGAGAGATGGAGGCCTCAGGAACGGAACGAAACGGATAATAAAGTTATAATTTAATCCGACAGAAGTTTACGAGCGACTCCATCCACAATTCTCCATCCCTCTCTTTCCACCCACCGTCTTCTTCGGCAAAGCATAGGATATGTGAATGCGTACCGCAGAAAGAGAAAGATGAGATTTTTGACATCCTTTTCTCGTGCGAAATATAAATTAAGCATTATTATCAAGAGGAGGAAGGTCAATATAATATAATTTCAAATCGGACGAGGTCTGGCAATAATAATAATAATAATTGCCGCGTACCGGTGATAAATATAATACGCGAAGAACTGCTCGAGAACTGGTGGAGAATAGGAACCGCCAAGGAAGATGAGCGCGGAGGGGAAGAGAAGAGACAGGATAAAACGCGAAAGCTCTTAAATTCCGCCGAACGAGATAAAATTCCAATTATGGCATTTGATTATCGTCCGTTGGGGATCTGGGTGGATGAAAAAAAAAAGACACACACACACACACAAGAGAAAATCAGCAAGGGGAGTAGAGGAGAGGTCGCTCCCCTTTTGCACAGCCTGCTTGCTTTGCTTTGCCTTTTCATCCTCCACTCGACGGAAGAAGAAGGAAGACGAAGGAGACGTGAATAAAGAGAATAAAAAAACGAACCGACACTCACAATCAACCAACCACCCGACAGAGCTTACTTAAAAAAAAGGAAGGGGGTTTTGGAGTGAGTTAGTTATTCGCGCGCGCTCTCTAATTAAGACTTCATAATTTTTTCGCGGATCGCAATTAAAGAGAGAAAATATCTATATATACACACACACATATACACACACAGACACATATTATATATATATTAAATGGAAAAACGAATGCGAGGATGAAGAGGAGCGCGCGAGAGATCTGAAAAAGGAGTATGGATACCCCCTCATAAATGTCCGAGTAAATCATTGGATACGTGTTAAAACCAGCAAGCCTCGAGCACACTCCATACCATCTCTTGGCACACACACACACATACACACGTGGATGCAATGTTCCGTCCTTTTCTCTCAGAGCGTGGGTGGAAAAAGGATGTCAGACGAGGTTTCGGGTCGGGTCGGGTCAATTAAGTGGTCCTTTCTGTATTTGGGGGGTGGCGGTCGGTCGTGGGTTTTAATGGTATTTGCGCTAAAACTCGAGAGGGCCGCGCCGCCACCACAACCACTCAAGGATTCATTTCCGGCCATTAAAGGACTTCCGCCGTTTCCGCGAACGCGCGCTTCGATTACACAGAGAGCGCGGAGAAAAAAGGGAAACTAAATATATCTATATCTATCTATATCTATATAGAGGAGATGGACGCAGAAATTGGTTGGTTGCGAAAAGAAAGGAAATGTTATATAACGGAGTGAGAGAGAGAGAGATCATATGATTGATACACCGTTCGCCATAGCCCACTTCCTGGATTACTTTATTAGAAAATAGGAAACGCACTTCATCATCACTAAGGTCTAATGGTCTCTCACATTGGACGAAATCCATACACGTCACAGCTAATTTATAGATTCACTAGTAATATATTTACACCTAACACCATTTAATCTTCAACTTTTTTTTTATACCCACACTTAAATTATCCTTTTGATTAATTCATTTTTTCGGAGCACACTTAAGATTTTTCGCTCTTGCTAAATTAGATCCATCTACTTTGAGTAATTAACTAACTAATATGTGTGTACATATTACATAACGTTTAAATCGTCAAACATTCGTGATATTTGTGTAGACTATTATTTGCGAAACTCAATGAAAAAAAAATCATATACATTTGACTTAAATACTAATTTCAAACAAATTACAGTTTAGCCTGTTTTTCGATAATTAACATGAACATGAGTAATAAATGTTGTACTTGAAATCATTTGCAAGTACTTTGCAAACAGTTTTAGTGAAATGATGATTATATATTGGAACGTCTAACAAGTATATTAACATACTTGTAAACTGAATCGAGAACAGTTTCCGTTAATTCTGTATTGTTGATGATTCCGGAAAAGCAACGAAACTACGTGATCATCGTGTAATGGTCTTTCCTCTTCTTGCACCTTTCTCTCTTCCCCGTCGAGTTAAGTGATATTATTAAGTTGGAAGGTGTGTGCATCGGAATGCGGAGGATTTTAATTGAACAAGGCGGCAATCGGTAGTTGACAAGTTAATACGACCGGTGGCCGCGCACAAAAGGCACTACGCTCCACTATCCTCGCCTCTCATCCCATTCCCATCCCATCTCATCATCTCTCTCTCTCTTTCTCTCGCAATGCGCGCGCCAAATCCAAAATACCTTCAATCTCTTCGTCTCTCTCTCTCTCTCACACATATATACACACACACAACCTAATGTCCCGGATTCGAGTTTCATTGATAATTATGTAAAGCCGCACATAAATTTGTATTTAATTGTTCGGAGGAGCAGATCCGATTCCGAATCCACCGACGACGATGGGTAAAGCAGAAGAAAAATGAGCATAAATGATTTCGATAATTTGTTTGTTACGTTCGATATCCTTTTAGTCGCCTTTTACGACAAGCAGGATTTACTTTGGTCGTATTCTTTGGACAGCCCCGAAAACCAAAGGGCAACCTCACAATTATAATCCACTTTTTAACTTGTGAAACCGCAGTGCGGGATCGATCATTATTTTTACGTTGCTCCTCTTCGCTCCGCTCGATGCGAAAGTTTCTATTACGTAATCTCGCATCGAGCCATAAAAACTTATTAACCCCCCGCGCATCTGAGCCACTTCTCATCTCCATCATCTTATGTGCGCCAGACTTTGGTGGCTTTATGCTTCCGGAAGCGAACGTAAACATCTCGGAAATATCAAATAAAACTATCAACATTTAAACAACATCTCATTACAAATTAAGATACCATTGCTATCAATTGATTTAATTTGCGTAGAGAACTGTAATATCAAGCAATTTGACACACGTCAAGTGTCAACAATGGCTGACGCCATCTTTCAATCGGATTCGGTAATTTCGAAATCATGCCCCATGTCGAGACGAGTTACTTTTTGACGGAAAGCAAGAGAAGAGAAGAGATGAAGAAACGGCGATGTGTAAAGTCAGCCTCGAAAAGGCAATTTCATAGTTTACGCATTATTGTTATTACGATCATCCTCCTTCTTTCACTTCTTCTTTTCATATATATATATATATATTTTTAATTACGAAAAAAAAATCATAATAATAATATTATAATAATAACGCAATTATGGTAATAACGGACTTAACAAGATATAAATTAGATACGAATTGAATGAAGAAAAAAAAAAAGGGGGAACATAAATAGAGAGACGGGGCAATTGGCCAATGCAGCGCCGCGGTTTAATAACAATATTTCGTTCACCTGCTGAGACCGTTTCCTGTCGTCGTCTCAGTCATCTTCGATCCATTCAAAAATGTTTCGCGAAGAAGAATACAATACAATACACACACACACATTCAGATAATCATGTGATGATGTTGATGATTCTGATGGATCTAAATAGAAGGCTATAAGCCAATGGCTGGTGGTTTCGATTCCGTTGCACGAAATGGAAATTAATATATACTTTTTATAATTTTTTTTTCGCTATTTATTTTTTTTTTGGTTGATTTCGCGTAAATAAAAGCTCGACGGATTTTCGGGCTAAAAAGTAATTAGCGATAAATCACAATTGCCGTGCAGATATGTATAATACATTTGGCGGGGCCAAAAAAACAAAAAACAAAATCAACAAATATAAAAAAAACAAAATGTGGGTGGTGGTGGTGGTTTGAAGGGAGTTTGGCGCGTTGTGTTTGTGTGTGTGTGTAATCAATCCATCAAAAAATAATAAAACACCGAAAATCAACTACAGCAAAAACGCATCAAAGCGAAAATAATAAATAACGCAGCGAACATATTGGCATCGGCACTAAAAACTCGATAATGAGATTTCGCGGCGCGAGAGACGCCCCCTTCTGTGTGGGCGTGGCCTAAGAGTGACCAATGGTGGAAGGCTTCGAAGGTAGGAGGCGCGGCCCGAGAAACCCGCCTATTTCATGTCGGGAATTTCCGCACTGGTTAGTGAACTTCTAACTCGCACCAAGTTAACACACACACAGCACACGGCTTCGAAAGCCGCGAGTTTCGGTCTCATCGACAACAACAACAATAAAAACAACAGCAAGAAGTAGAAGAACAACAAATATTAAAATAAATAAAGAGGAGATATGAACTGAACGAACACGGGGAAATAAATTTAAGAAAAAGGATTAAGCGCGGCGGCGATACAACGAATCGCGCGATGCGTCCTCTCGAGTGAATCGCGTACAGATCCAGATATAGATGTAATAGAAACAGTGCGAAAACGGTAAATTATTTTGTTTTTGTTTTTTCTTCTGTTGGTTGCGCGACGGATCCACCAGTTATTATTCTGTCGTTACAATTTTCGCGCTGATCGCGGGATCGTTCCCGGAGATTCCGGAAAACTGGAAGAGGCGGCGAGGAATTGGAAAGAAGAGAGTGTGAGAAAGAGAGACGACTCTTTCCATTCTCGGCTCTCCCGAAAGTTCAACTTTTTTCGCGTGTGCTCATCAGTTGTTATTGTTTCTTGTATCTTCTGTGATTTCGTCCATCCTCGATCATCCCCATCAAAGTGGACTCCGCAATAAATAATATGGTGTTGGAATCGGGCGTCCTGCCGCCCCCATTGCAGCTGTACGCGGCGGCGGCGGCACATCTGGCGCCGCGGCCGCCCTGGGCACCGTTCCTGCAGTTCCCGGGGGCGGCCAGCCTGCTGGGGATGCCGGCCGCCGCCTTCAATCAGCTCGGACGGCCGCCAAGGTATCCCCCGGGGATCGGGCTGCGGGCGCCGCCGGGACCGCCGTCCGAAGACAGCGGCAGCGAATCACATCAAGGAAAAGGTACGAAATTAATTATTGTAAAAACGTAAAATTGCTATACTTTCTACAAATATTGTCATATTGACTTAAATTACATATTATGCAATAATCTTAGAGGCTATAATTGAAACAAATTGACAAAAAAAAAGTAGTATTATCATTAAATTTGATTATATAGAAATTTTAATAAATGAAATATCAAATTTCGAATATAATAGATTCAGTTACATTATTCAAACTGGAGTTTAAATCAAATGAAAGACTGTAACTAATATGTTCACAACACATTTCTGATATATACCTGTCAAAATATCGAATTGGATTATAAACATTCTTTGAAAACCCGTCGTGGTCTAATTCACAGATTATCCTTGCCATTTTTTTTTTACAATCTCTACAATAATATTAATTTGATTGTATACATCAAACTAATATGATTACAACATTATTAATATGAAAAAAAAAATAATATTTTATACATTTCAATAATGCTTTTATATTTAAAATGTAGCACATGTTTCTTCAAATAAAAACTAAATTACCTTAAAAATGCGTCAAATATATTGAGCAAATTGATAATTATGAATAGATCAAATACCCGTCGGAGAATAATATTGTTTTGAAAATAAGTTATATAGTTAGCTAGTAAAATGTAGAAGTTCATAAAGCATGGATAATTAATTTATATTGAATTGTGTTCATTTAAAATTATTGATTTCGAAGATCCTAAAGTTTCCTACCGGTTATTGTGTGATTTTCTGTAATTGGATTGAGTCATCAGTAATGAAAGTGTCAAGTGGTGGAAAATGAGATGATGATGAAGCTGCTTCGGAACATTCTTGCTCTTGTTATTAATGCATGTATACATATAAAAGAAGATACTGTGAAGATACAAACAGGATCATCTAACGTGGCCAGTTATAAATAAATTTAGTTGAATCGAGCAGAGGAAGAAGTGAGGAGAGGAGAGGTGAGAGACAGACGGCGGACGAAGATGAGAAGGCGCTTTGGCACGAGAACGCAAACAAAAATTGTTTCATTATTATTTCGAGATCATGCGTGGACTTGTATGAAAATGAAATGAAGACGATTGCGGCAAATGCGGCGAAGAGATGATAATGGATGGACGTGGTGGCGGTAGTTGTTGATGATGATGATGATGACGATGGACACAGAGAGAGGAGAGACGGTGGAGCAGTGAAAAAGAGGATGGTAAAAGAAATGGATTCAACACGTATGATGAGAATAATTAAGAAATAATGCTCGGAGCCTAGAGTGTGTGTGTGTATGTATGTATGTATACATGAATGCATGCATATACATCGTCCATGTCGGCCTCTTCTTTCCAAAGCCGCATTTAATCCCATATCCATAAACCAAGATTACCGACTCGCACTGTAATAACATTCCATCTCTCTCTCGCTCATTCTCCTCTCTTTTTCATTCGAAAAAAAGCCCAGCTTCCACTCTTTACTTTGTTTGTAACATATTATCCCCGCCGTTCCTATAGATCCGAAACGAGCGCACCGAAATCATTAAGAACGATGACAACCTCCCATAACAAAGCAAAAAACAAATTTCCTTTTGACACCTGTCAATTAACGATAAAGAGGTAAACGTACGAGCGAACAGCAACAGATATAAACACGCAAATACATTTTAAAAGTGTCAAAGATGATTAGCTTCTTCGAAGACGTTAAGAGCGATCAATAAATCTCCAACACACAATATTCATGAAACATAAATCAATGGGTTTTCTGTAATTGTTAAACGTAAACTGCTCGGATGCAGAAATAATTTCCAACAAAGCATCAAAATGCAAAAGAAGGCGACTCGTATAAAACAATTGCACGGAACTTCAGTTTCGTACATTCGTCAAAGTGGTTGGCTGTGGTGGTTAATGCTTCAAAGTGAAGCAATCCGTCTACTGAATAATTAACCAATTAGCGACGTAATGAGGCGTGACCATAATTAGATTAGATCTAAATGACAGATGTCAACGTGATAAACCTTAACCTCTTTTCGGCCAAAGGAGATAGTTTATCGGGGGGAGAAGAAAAACAAAATTTGTCGTGCGGCAGCATTACAAAATAAGTGCTGCAAACACCGGTAGCCATGGTTACACGATTATCTTGTACTTTTTAAGTAGATGCAATTAAATGCGGGATTATGCGAGCGCGGCGCGCGTAACCATCAGATCGAAAGATGACAGGTGTGAGTGTGTTGTCAAAGTCAACAAATTCCGACATCTTCGAATCGCGGAAAGCGCAGTTCCTCTTTTATAGCGCAATTAATTAGGTGCGAAAATGTAGTAATAATCAAATCGTTGACGGAAAATTTATGTGAGCGTTAAAAGAAGCAGAGAAAGTGGAAATTATTCGGCGACGATAGATGGCGTTTCGAAATTGTAACCGAAGCGGCGCTTGATTCATAATCTATTTGGACGGCTGTCTCATTTCCCGTCGTATTACAACAAATTAGTTGCTTAATTAATTGCTGCTGGTGCTGCTAAAACCCATGTTTCTGACCATTGCTAGTTATGTGACAGCGCCAGAAATGTCACCCTAATTACGGCGAGCGACAACGATAAATCATTGGTGGAAGAGAGAGAGAGAGAGCGCGCGCGGATTTTACAGTTCTTCGCGCGACGATTTTCTTTTGATCGCTGACGATCAGGCAAATTTAATTGAGTAATCACGAGTAAATGCGTG